AGGGAACCTGTCTTGGCAGCCAGGGAGCTCCTCAGAGGCGAGGGTGGCCAGGCTGAGCCTCACATGTTCTCAGGGGGAAATTGTGCTCAAAAAACTAGAGGGTTCAGCAGAAAGGAGGAAGACTCGGCTTGACAGGATGGATCGACACAGACAGACTGCAACAACTGACTCGAATATGGCAATAATTGGGAGGAGGGCGCACAATCACACAGGGCTTTATTCTGACAAACCCACTTGGTGGCGTCTTAACGGTTGGTTTGTAGATAAACTCTTCCTGAACCCCTCGTGTGAAAGGTGGACAAGCACTGGCTTTTTAAAGCCTACTCCCCCACCCTGCCCCAGACCTTACAAAGCACTACATGTCGATGACTATTTTACAAGCCACTGCCGCCTCTGCCTTACCATTCTGTACACTGGTCATAAAATTCACATTCACCAGCTCAGCTGTTCTGAGGGAGGAAGGGCAATCTCCTTCCGCATGATTCACAGCCTTGAAAACCCACCTGAGGATCAGCTGTGTCTGACTTTCCGGCAGACATCCTCAGTCCTCTGACTTGTATCCCATCTATGTTGGGCCTTTCTGGTCTGTCTTGCTCTTCTTAAGTACAGGCCCTCTGTGCTTTCTCACGCTCTGTACTCAATCCTGGGTCTTCTCTCAGGTTACTTGTCCATTTCACTAATCCTCAACCGTCTCACCTGCACGCTTGATCTTTGACATTCTTCTTGAGGATTTGTCCATTGTGTATAATTGTCTGCTCTCACCTATGCCTTGTCATTTTCAGAGTGTGTACTCCTGTTTATGGGAGAAACGAAGCCCTAGGGGGGAAGAATGTGTCCCATGCTGAGCTGCTCATAGAAATGTCAGTGGTTGAAATCCATCTGCCACTCCTTAGGAGAAAGATGGACAGTTTTCTTCCGTTAGGACTTAGGGCCTCAGAAACCCAGTGGAGGGTCACCAGGAGACGGAGTCAGCTCGATGGCAGGGAGCCTTGGGTGATGATGGTGGGAGACAGGCTGCTCCAGAATGGCTTGACCTCATTAAGGTCTTGGCTCAGGTGCTTCCAGACCAAACAGTACAAATGTTGAGTCTAAACTCATGGCTCCCGGCTGCCCAAGAGACCTTTCTCACTAGATCTGAGGACAAGAGTAAGGAGTGCTGTTTCTTGAGCTACAGCAATACAACTCTAGCCACCTTCTAAAGACAGGTTAATACAGTTCTTTAAGGGTGCTCTGGTGGCCTAGTGGCAAGAAGCTGCACTGCAATCCCAGAGGTACACAGTTCAAATCCACCAGATGTTCTGCTGGAGAAGGAGGGACAATCTCCTCCTGTACCAGTCACATCTCATTTGATGGTACACACACACACACAAACCCCAATAAAATAAAATACAGCTCTTTAAAATCAGGAAAGGAGTGCGTCAGGGATGCATCCTGTCCCCGAATCTTTTCAATATGTAGAATAGATCACCTGGGGGGCAGGGCTTTAAGAGGAATGTGGTATCAGGACTGGAGGATGACTCATCAACAACCTACCTTATGCAGATGACACAACCTTGCTTGCTGAAGCTGAGGACCTGAAGCACTTGCTGCAGAAGGTCAAGAACTGCAGCCTTCAATATGGATTGAAGCTCAGCATCAAGAAAACAAAGATTCTCACCACTGGGCCAATAGCACCATGCATGATAGATGGAGAAGAGATCGAGGTTAACAATTACAGCTTGCTCGGCTCCAAAACCACCACTCATAGCACCAGCAGTCAGGAAATCAAAAGACTAATTGCATTGGGAAAATCTGTCAGGGACCTCTCCAGAGTGCTGAAAAGCACTGACGTGAGTCTAGAGACTAAGGTGCACCTACTCTAGGCCAGGTCTTCCCAATTACTTGCTATGCATCAGAGAGCTGTACAATGACTAACAGAAGAATCAGTGCCTTTGAATTGTGGTGCTGGAGAAGAGTCTTGAACATACTATGGACTGCCAAGAAAACAAGTCAGTCTGTCTTGGAGTGGGTGAAACCAGGTTTCTCCTTGGAGATTAGGATTTTTAAACTCTCACATACTTTTGGCACATGGCCAGGAGGCACCAGTCCTTGGAGAAGGACATCATGCTCAGAAGGGTGGACAGACAGCACGGAAAAGAAAGACCCCAGACGACATGGATACAGTAATTGGGGCAATGGGACAGGGCAGCATTCAGAGCTGCTATACATAGGGTAGCAGGCAACTCGATGGCACATTAACAATACAGCTTATCTATCTTGCTTTTAAATCAGGAAAGGGGTGAATCCCAGTTGTATCCTTTCTCCATATCTATTCAGTCTGTATGCTGAGTGAATAATTATAATCATTCAAGAAGCTGTGCTTTAGGAAAAGGGAAGTGGCATCAGATCAGAGGAAGACTCATCCACAACCTGCATCAGGCAGAGGACACAACCTTGCTTGCTGAAAGTGAACTTGAAACACTGCAGAAGATCAAGGACTGCAGTCTGCACTATGGATTACATCTCAACATCAGAAAGCAAAAATCCTCACTGCTGGGTCAACAGGGGACATGACGGATGCAGACAAGCCTGAAGTTGTCAAATATTTCATCTTGTTTGGATTCACAATCACGCTTTGTACCAGCAGTCAAGAAATCAGAAGACATATTGCACTGGGAATATCTGCTATCAAGGACATCTCCAAAGTGCTAAGGAGTAATAATGTCAGTTCAAAGACTAAGGTGCACCTGATACAAGTCATGGTCTTATTACTATGCATCCAAAAGTTGGACAATGAGTAAGGATGACAGAAGAATCAACGCGTTTGCATTGCAGTGTTGGAGAAGAGCACTGACTATCCCACGACCTGCCAGAACAAGAAGTCAGCCTCAGAGGTAGCAGAACCAGGAAGCTCCTTGGAGGTGAGGATAGTGAAGTTTCGTCTCACATCTTCTGGGCATGTAGTTAGGAGGGACCAGTCCTTGGAAAGGGACTTCATGCTTGGAGGGGTGGAGGGTCAGTGAGAGAGGAAGACCATCGACAAGATGGACAGACACAGTCTTTAACAATAGGCTCAAGTGTTATCAGGGATAACGAGGATGGCACTGAACAGAGCAGGGTTCAGACCACTGCTCAGAGTGTCACTGGACTCAAAAGCACCTAACGATTCACCCTTTCACTTAACTATGATCCTGCAGGGACTCCAGGTGTAGGGAGGAGCCTCACCCTCTACCACTGGTCCTGAATGTCCCCATCCCTTGCTTCTGGGAGCAGACCCGACATCAGCTCATGCTATTTCTTCAGTGCCTCGTCCTTTCTTCAGTTTGGACTCTGGAGGACTGTTTTCTTACGATCACAGCCGTGTGCATTTGTTTTGTGGTTTTCTGTGTACTGTAGTGGGAGGATTTTCAGACAAGTGTCCTTTCTTTCCACGGGGCCGTCACCCTTTCTCATCGGGCAGGGAGGGATGTGGGGAGGGGTCTGCATGCACAGCTGCAGCCACACCACAGGACGACCGTGAAGGGGGAGCTTGGGGTCAGACCTGGGCCCCTTGGGCAGGAGGCCATCAGGGAGTGCTGCCACATGGTCTGCGGGCTGGGAGCGAACAGACAACAAGGTGGCCAGGTCACTTTCCACCGTCAGGAAAAGCGTGAGGAAGCCGAGGTATCAGCCTGGCTCCGAGGCCCCTGGAAGACCTGAAGCCCAGTGCACGGTAGGCAGTTGCTGGGAGGCATATGGTGACAGAGAACTTTGGGGACCTGGTGCAGGGGGGCAAGGAGCAGGGTGCAGGGATGGGGCAAGAAGGCAGGCCTTCCTCAGATATGGCATTTCGGCTCCTTCCCACATAGACTCGGTGGTTCTCACATGGTAATGCTGGTTTGTGAGGAGTCATTCTGAGTTGTCCCCAGGACGCAGATAAGGTGGGGACCACACCCCCACAAGTCCACAAGTGCCCAGGTGCAAATGACAGTGCTCATCCTTGGGCCCCACCCTGAAGAGGCCATTGTCCAGGAAGGGCAGAGGGGCAAGTGGTCTGAGGGCGGAGGCGGTGACGGGAGCCACCTTCATGAGAAGATGGGAGGTGGCCCACGCTTGTCCCCACGTGGCGCAGGGGTGACGGGTGGAAAGGCCGCATGCTTGTCCCTGATCCACTCTCTCCTGCTCTTAGTATGTGTAGGCACTGAGAGGGGCAACCTGAGCCTATGGGGACCATCTGCACTACGGCCACATGGGAAGCTGGCAGGACGACATCAGGTGAGTGTAGTTTAATGGAATCATGACACACACAGGCAGGTGAGCACCGGCACACAGGATGGTGGGTCCTCCCAGACCCTCCCCAGGAGGAGGCTGAGCTAGCCCCCCCTTATAGGCTGGTGTCTCCTGGGGAGAAACACTGATGTGGCTGAGTGTGTTGGCGTGACACGGGCTGGGCCTAGAGGGCGCTGCCCTTGGAGCACGTGAGCAGGGGGACAGAGGGGCCTCCACCCCCATAGTAAACCATTCCCCCGGGGTGGGGGTTGGTTTCCGGACAGAGCTGGCCCTGCCCTCGCTCAGTGCTGTCTGTGGCTGTGGGAACAGAATGAGAGGACAGGGGTCCTGAGTAGCCCAAGGGATGGGCGCGCTTAGACAGTGTAGGTATCAGTTATAACATAGACAGCAAACAACCGACAAGTAGAAATTCATAAACCTACAAACAACATGAACATAAAAGAGCGACAGTGTGACGCCTCTGAGGTCCCAGCGGAGCCAGCACGCTGCAGGTGGCAGGCGGCATGTGTGGCATCTAGCAAGTATGTCCTGATCTTTCCGGTACCAGGGAGCCACACAGCAGAGCAAGGCCTGGGTGACGTCCCCAGTCAACACAGATGGGCGGAGACAAGGCATGGCAGAGACCGCGCCCACACCCAGAGCGCTGTTGGCAGAGGTCCTAGGGAGAGGTCCGGGGGTGCTGGGAGGGCGCTGGGCCCAGCTCACTCCTCCGTCCGGTGGTTTGGCAGGTGCCCCAGAGGTGGGCAGGTCCCTCACTGAGTCCGGAGCTGGTAGTCTAAGGAGACAAGGTGGAGGGGGAGGGTCATCCTTATTCCCTGACTGCCTGCCTCACTGGGGTCCTCCCAGCACCCCTGGGCAGCCATACTCACCCCCGTTCTGAGTGATGTAGCGGACCCAGGGCAGGGCCTGGTAGCCACTCTTCTCAATGATCTTCAGGTAGCGCACCTGGGGGCACAGGTACCGGGCTCTGAACACACAGCCCCCCATGGCCGGCCTGGCCCTCCCCACGCTCAGCCCTCTGGATCCTTCATTCCTGATGGGACTGTGGGGCTTGGGAGGGGCGAGCTCACAGTCACACCCTCAGGGCCCCTGTGGGCTCTAATTCACGGTGGTCAGGTGCCCCCTCTCTAACCATGGGGGTGTGTCTGGGTCTGGTTCCAGGTTCTGAGCTGGAAGAGGACTAAAGCAAGGCTGCCCGACTGAGGGTGGAGCGTCGTGAGCTGGGTACACGATCTGCAGCCCTCAGGGCCCAGCCTGACCCCAGACCTCACACAGCACCCGCCCATCCACGTGCCCCTGCTCCCCCAGCTACACACCTGGATGCCAGAGGTGGTGAAGTAGGGGATCTCAAACTTGACACTGATGGGGGGCTTGCCCTCCTTGTCCTCTGCCTCCACGCTGGGCAGGCCGAAGTGTGCCCGCATCAAGTATTCCTTGCCACCCTGGGGAGAAGCAGGGGTGGTCAGGCTGGGGCAGCACCCCTGAAGAATGTCGTGGGTGCTGAAGTCAGGGGTAAGGCCCTGCTAAAGCAAGCTATCAAGTCCTTCATCTGTGTGGGCTGCAGTTCCACCCTCCCAGTTCCAAGAGGTCACTGTCCTGAGCCCCAACTCCCTCTACTCCAATGCTCCAGCCTGGCCCCGATCCCCCTGCGCTCTCAGTCTGCTCTTGGCCCCCTACTCTCATGCCTCACATTTAGGGGACACACACACACACACACACACACACACTCCTACTCTCATTTTCCCAGCCCTGCAGCTGTCCCCCATGTACCTCCTTCTCATGCTCCCAGCTTCCCCTACATGCCCCGAATCTTGTGCCCCAAGTTCAGCAGACCATTCCCTCAGGTGCTTTATGCTCAAGGACCGAGTCCAGCAGACCCTCCCTCCACAGCTCCCCACGCTGCGGTCCTCCCCTGGTGGTTGTTCCCACCACGTCCCCCAATCGTGTGCTCCCAGCTTGTTGGCTGATGCTGCCCACCACGTGTCCCAGGTGAGCAGAGAGATGAGAGCAGACATGCTGGGAGGTCATTCTGGGTAAGGCGTGGAAGGAAGCTTCACAAGCGCCCAGGAAGGCTGTGGGCAGGAGGAAGGAGGAGGGGTGTGGACAGGTCCTCAGCCACCCAGGCCGGGGCCAGCCCTCCACACCAGGCTCAGGACAACTTACAGCAAAGGGAAAGGGCTTATCTTGTCAGTATAGAAAAAAACTCCTGGAAACCAAGAGGACAGGAAAACGAGTACGTTCTCATCTCCAGGAAAACATGAGTGGTCTCAAACAGGAGGAAAGCCAATCCTGCTTGAGGTGAGTATGGCAAACTCAAAGCTCCACCGCAACTCTGCTGGTGACACCACAGAACCACAACCAAGGGGAGGAGCCTTTCCCTGGGGGAAAGCCCTCCCCTGGGGGAAAG